ATTTATTCTCAAAGTGGGCAGTAGACAAAATAAGTTTGGGAACCACTGCTCTATGTCAACGTCTCACAAATACCTCCTCCTGCGACTACGTTTACATTTATGCTTTAAATGTATGAGAATGTTGTCAGCGTCGTCAAGAGTACGGATTTTCGATCGCGCGGTCTAGAGTTCAACTATTGTCGTAAACCATATCCTAGCACAAGCCTAAATCTTAGTGGGAATGGAGTACCATTTCTAGTAAGAAATATTAGTAGATTAACAAAAAAATTTAAAATAAAATATAGTGGAAATCAATTTTGCGTTACTAATGAAATTAGAAAATTATTTATACTAACTAACACATTTGTGTAGACATTCACTATGTACACATTTGAGTAAATATAAAAATTAAATATAAAACAACGCGAGTGCAATTTAGAAGAACGAAAAGCTAGCTGGAAAAGTTCCAAAGCTTCGTTAGTAAAATAACAAACTTGCACGAAAGGTCTTTGATTTAAATAGCGTGATACTTACACAGAAAACCATATTTACATTGCACATTAACATACCGACCAGTAATATTTAGTCTATGGAATATTTACTCTGTATTCCACTTTTATGGCAAGGCAATGCAGAATTAAAGCAATTACAGTATACGAATTTATTATGATTAAAAATAGTAAACCATAATTTTATTATTTTAGCCTAGAAATCCCGTCAATCATCAGCTCACTATATATCCCTACCGAGGGGCTCGGAGCTAAGCTAGGGGTGACTACGCCATAGTTAACCACGCTGGCCCACTGTACTTCACACATATCTTTGAATTTCTTCTCAGATATGTGAAGGTTGCATCACGAAATCCCTTTATTTTGAGTTATTCTTCCGAACTAACAGTCAGTAGTCGTTGCCATTTTTAATAATAAACGCAGTTCTAATCTTACGCCTGGAAGAATACACAGGCTACTGATTAAGTTTTTTCCCGTGCGGACGGAGTCGCAGGTTACGGCTAGTAGTGTGATATTCTCTTTGGTAGAGGTTCTCGCAATTGTATATTTTTCAAATAACCTCTTTGTTATTTCGAAAAAAAAAACAAGACCACCTTATTGTGAAGAATTGCGCTCTACAAATGTACCATTTAATAACAAAAGTTTTAATGCACATCTGACCTCTATTGTTTGTTTCATACTCGGTACTATTTTTCCGTTGCGCTCCGTACGCCGCAATATTAACCTACTTTGAGATATTAAAATATGCTAACTTTGTATCATGCAAACATTGAATGAGCAGTGATTGGCTATAAAATATACTGCATATAATATATAACTTGAGTCAAAGTCAAACTAAGTAGTAAACTTCAAATATACAATTTCTTCCAGAGTATTAGTTACGAAATTAAAGAAAAATCTATTTCATAGTTTTCTTTCAATCTATAGCTTTTTGTATATTATCTATACTGATAGAGAGGAAGGGTTTCAATGTTTGTTTGCATTAAACAGGCTCCTAAATTACTTAGACGATTTGAAAAATTGACTGTTGGGAACCTACACTGTCTCCTGGTGAGGTAGGCTGTATTTATTATTAGATTTTTTTCGCGGGTAAAGGGCAACTGCTTTTAAGAGTATAATTTAATTAATTAAGAAAAATATTTCTTTCGACGAGAATGAGAGAGAATGCATTATGTTTTTCTAAAGGAAAATCTTTTTAGAATGTCATTTAACGTTAAAATTGACAAAATCTAAAGCATTTTGTTAGGTTTCTGAATGAAAGCGATCGCCCGCTCATTATCCTTTCGAGTAGCAATTTTCTTGTGACGTTTTGAGTTCCCACTCAAATTTACATTTATGTTAATGTAAGTGGCATTTCAACCTATTCTATTTCTGCCCTAATTCCTTAATAAGATGCAGTAACAATATAAAGATTTTTTTAAATTTTCTAATGTACGTGTCTAATACCCAGTTTAAAGGTTAAGCACTCGAGCACTGGATTACCGCTGGAGAAACATCCACACTGGAAAGAACGGTGAGGGTTCCAGTTGGTGCTTCCATTTTTACAGTTGTAAATTAGCGATGGATACGGAAAGTGCTTTCATTCATTTTTATCTGAGACAGTAAAATAGTATTTTTTAAATTATTTTGAAAATATTAAGTTATATTACTCTATATTCTGGCTTTAGAAAAATATGGTGAACGTAACAAATTAATAAAGGGCATTTAGTAAATAAATTCATCGTTAAAACCCCAAAAGCAATTAAAGTCACGTTCTCACAAAATACGGCAACGATTAAGTTAAGACAATAAGTACAATGGAATATTAAATCGGCTTTTCAATTGTTTTATTATGATTATAAAGTCTTTGCATTAAGGGCTTAGAATCTTTGAGCACTTTCCTTAAATTATACGGGGGCCCGTATACGTATTATTTAGAAGATTTTAAACTGTTGTAGTCACAAAACGAATAGAACGGATTAAGTCACGAAAATAATACAAAGTGTAAATTTTAAAATTCTTAAAAGCGCTAGAAGTCTTCAAATTCTTGCAATGTCTTGACACTTGACGTTCGAGTTACCTACATTGCAAGAATGTGCAAGATTTCCAGCATAAGGCACAGCAAAAGGCATATACACAGTCAGTTTCGCTGCACTGCGGAATGAAGAACGTTGTGAATTCAGTAAAGTTCTCGCCTAGCTCGACCAATGATACAGTACTATCCAAAGTTTAAAGCGGCTCCCAATTTCGCAACAGATAACAGTGCTTCCAGCTAACCACAAGCAACCATAAAGTATGAATTTTATAATACCTTGTTTGATTTGGCAGTAAACGTTGTAAACAAACTGTTTCCGCCTCAATGAGATTGCAATTTAAGGCAACAACGTTGTTTTATAGCTTCAAAAGTCTGTAGATGTACTTAAAAAGTGTTACAAATTCTTATTTTTCTTATATAATGCATTTAAAAAGTGATTAACCCAAATAATACGTAAGTATAATTTTGAAAAGTAAATCTGCCTTCTTAAATAATAATCACACACAAAAACGATTAAAATATACCTATCTGTAAATTAAAAAAAAATCTTAAAACAGCGACACAATAACATATATCCTTTAGACTATGGTACTGGCTGATAGTAATTCAAATTCCTTTGTTTTGAAATTCCTTTACAGATAGCAATGGTAAACAATTCACGGAATGTCTTAACATGAGTACTATTAGCAAAATTATCTAGCACTTAGCATCTCCGTGTCTTTAAACATGATACTGTTGAGTACGTCACTAATCGTTTTATAAATGTTATGACTTAACATGATTAAAATTATCGTGAGACATTGTTTAATCTAAAAAAAATATATGTTTCTTCTTTCTTTCTCTCTATGCAACTTCGATAGATAGTCCTAAAAAGACAAAGAGATTTCATATGCATAAAAAATATTTTTAATACTTTACATCACATTGAAATCCATAAATATTTTTAAGATATTGCCTATTTAAGTGGACGAAGAAAAAATTTTTTTCAATTAATATCATATGTCACCATTATAAGTTTACGAATGTTATGGTATTTTCTACTAGTGTTTGTATATAAAAAGTATTTTACATATAATTAAAAATTTGAAATAATTGTAGGAAATTAGTATAGAAATATAGTTACAAATTTACAAAAGTAGTGAAACAAATTTTTTAATACATTTATTGATTAACGAATTGATGATACGATTGATTATTTCCTTCAGACAGATAAGATTTCCAAAGTGTATAGGATCGATATACGAATGTCTGTAAAAACATTGTTCGAGAGGTTTATCTGGCCGTTTTAATTAAAACTGCCACCCACAACCCATGCACTACGTACGACTGGGACGATAAAATTGAATCGCTTTTCTAAATGTATTTCGTCTAGACTCCATATGGATAAGGTTTTATGTGAAAAGTATAGGCGAAAAACTACATTAATACACGCCAAAAATAAAATATGATTTTATCAATCCTAATATTTTGATAAAATGTTGAAGTGTATTTTTTTGTAGACACGTATATAAATTGTAAAAAAAATGACAAATTTCTTGATATTTTTGCAAATGAAACTATTTTGCTTATAACGGAATTAAAATATATATTACGTGCATATTCGTATAGATTAGGTTAAGCAACTTCTCTCGTAACAAAAATTTTGAATACTATTGTAAATATAATCTCTTTTGTTTTTAATATTTCATAATATTATACACCTTTGACAACCTTATTAAAAAGTCGAGTGAACTTTTCAATATAACAAGGCGTGGGATTCTTCATTAGTGTATGTTCTCGTTCTCTGGAATATTATAATATAGCGACGAGAAATATTTCTCGCTCAGATAAAGTTCACGGTAATTAAAATACGACATGAATGGAAAACTACGAGCGTTATATAAAATAGGGAGAGTCACAAGATGGAACATTCATTTCACTTCCTTCAACATTTTTTCACAATAGAATTTTATTTACTTAAAGAATTTATTTAGGTTTTTTATTTAATAATTCTGCATTATGATTACAACTATTACACAAGTATTACTACGCTTAAATACTTTTGACGAACAAAGATTACTAATGTAGCCTCCAAAATTTTACAAAATTAATTTTGGTTCTAATTACTTAAAATACAAGAGAAAAATCGTCCTATTTTATATCATCTATCAAAAAACTTTCTCACAACAGTGCTCATAAAATTCCTGCTTAATGAAAAAAAAACGAACCGCCTCCGCGTAAGAAAAATAAGACCTTTATGAAGCTACGTTAGGTTTAAAATTAACCTGGTTCAGTCTACAAAAGGCTTACGAACTTAATTTGTAGCGTAGCTCCAGTAAGTCTTCATTTAAGTAATAAAGTGCAGTGATTTTATTATTAAAATAAATTTTCAATTTTGTAATCTATGTTTTTACAGATAATTTAACAATTCGGCCTGTGAAAATTATGTACGTGCCGTACACGACGGGTTCAAGTCCCGTTGCACAACCACAATTGTTAATATTTGAAGTGGCACTTACCAACATGATGCCCCGTTCACCGCCTGTAGTCGCCTGGTCACTTTGTCGGTGTCAATCGAGTCAAGTCACTGTTAAATAGTCGAAAGGCGCCAGCGATGCTGCCCTACTGATACAACTGATGCACTATTTTCCGTAAGCACATTGTATAAGTGTCTTCGTCGAACCGAACGCGGAACCGTAAACTTAGCGACCCTGTACGCCATGAAACCGAAACGACCGATGTGTAAATTTTTCCGTCCAACTTTCGTTGTCACCCGCTGCTGACATTCAACTGGCGACTCACTGCTCTCCCCGCACAAGGCCCCGCAGGCCCCGCGCCCGACCGCGACGTTGCGGAATTTTAAACTACCCTCTTGTGCAGGATAATAAAAAAATGAGTTGGCTTACCTACATTATACTGCATATACCGCACCGCGAAATTCAAAACTACATATATGCTCTAAACTCATTGAAGATGACGAACTATAGAGCATCTGCACCGACCTTTAAATAACAATTTTCTTCTGAAACAAATAAGGTCTACTGACTGTACATACTCGTATAAAATGAATAATATTATGCTACTGTACCATTTCTTTTCCTTGGCCGTATAACTCGTTTCAAATATCTTAGCGGCTCAAGGTCACCGGCGTGCTGCGCAGTGCCTTCCCTCATATTCCGCTACGTCCCTCCACACCTAAGGTTATGTTCCGCGCAGTGTTTCGCGTGAAGTTAAGAGCCGCTAAGATATTTGCAAACAATTATAACAACAATTTACAACTACAACGGACGTATAAACCAAACCAAAGTAGTTAGACCTCCACCGGCGTTCTCATACTGTATATTCCGCATATTATAGTAGTTCTCAAGAGAATGTTATGATTTACTACACCCATTTATTAACATTTAAACCTAAATACTGTAACAGTTACTAAATTCAGCAACTCTGGCGAATAATATTACAAGCAAACAACACTTAAAAGACTGCTTTTCAATCCACAGACATTCACATCCATTAACAATAATTTGTTTAGCTGTGTCAATATTTTTAACGTTTTTGTAACGACCAAACATGAGTTCTAGTAATAAGTGAATTTCAAGACTGTCCATAAAGTAAGCACATTTTGTAGGTGTGATGCAAGATTTACGTAATACAGATAAGAAAATGCAAATGAAATTAAAACGAAAATTAGTCTTACGGTTACGTCATGCAACTAGCGAAATTTTGGTAACGCCTTTAACAAACTGCCTTGTTTTACCTATTTAGTTTGAGAGTTATTTTAGGTTAAAATGTGTTACGAAATGACATCTTAATATAATTTCAAATGGGAGTCTTGTGAAAGTAAAGAATAGTATCTTTTAGAGAACATATAATATTATTATGTAACATCTCAATGGAAAACGTAGCAATATAAAGATGTAATAATGAAACATTTTTATTAAATGTTACGCAGATGAAAAGGGCTGTAATAACGCACAAACATCTGATGCCTTCGTCAACAACTCGGAACAAATATTGTAATATGAAGTTATTGTATATTTCCTTGATCTATAAGTTATATTTAAACTTGCTGGTGCCCGCGACTACGTCTGCACGTATTTAAAGAAACTTAATTAGTATCCTATGTGTTCTTCCAGACTGTATTCTACATATATGCCAAATTTCATCAAGATCCACCCGGCCATTCTGGAGATACCATCAAACAAACAACTATTCAACCATCTAAACATTCTCATTTATAATATTAGTAAGACTGCTACATCTTTAGTCCTTCTGCAGATCGTGCAAATATATTTAATAGACGCGTTATACGTCTTGTTCAACAAATAAACACGGTAACTATTATTATTATATAACAAAATCAATATAATAAAAGTATTTTATACATAATATGTACAGATTTTAAACAACCATGCACTCTGAATAGTGCCTCGAGCAATGCAGCAATGCATTTGCAATGCAGATTTGAGCTTTGTTATCTTATCTGAATCCGTACACATTAGCCTTACAAGATTTACTGCCGACATAATATGAATCTTAATTAACTTGAAACCTAAATCTGCGTGAATCTCTATTAAAATTCATGAATCAAGACTGCTGCATCAGCTTCAACCCGCATTGTGTAAGAGTTCAAAAATCGAACTACGCAACTTCTTAATGCGGCATCCCTTTCAATGTGTTAAAAAAAGATACTGTTAGGAAGAAAATCCGACAATGTGCCGGTGTACTGGCACAACTATAGTGTTACTAAAATGTCGACGTTTATTTCCCCTCACTAATCATTCTGACATATTACTTGGTAACCAAAGCGCGCCATTAGCGCTAAAGGATTCTAACTAATATCTAAAAATACATAAAAAAAATCACAATTTCTTCAGCAGTGAAACTAAACGGAACTACGGAACTCAACGTGTAATAAAATCCTTTCGCCGCATCTGTACTAAATTCAAATAACTACAGAACAGATTTTCTTAGGTTTTTTACACTTGATAGCGCCTTTCGTGTCGATTACGTTTATTGTAAGTTGGAGTAGACAGGTAGAAGAGAAAAAAAAAACAAAACAAAAACATTTTAATTATTTATTATTACCATTGGCGTGCACTGCAACTTTCGTGACACTACAGACACTTAATTATTTCTAATTATATCTATGGTACTTTACAAAAACCTAAATATTAATTCGACCTGTTTTACATTCTTATTGTGACCTTGGTGTTTAACAGATTTAAAGCAATGAAATTTATGTCACGGACAGATAGCCATGTTAAAATTATTCGGGCATTGTTTGCCATTAAAACACTATGCGGTGTCTGTACTTACACTATATTTGTAATTACATATTTTATTATCAGTCAACATTAACAATATTTTAATTTAAAAAAGTATGTCAAGTTAACGTATAACATATGTTTAATGAAGAAATTAGATATTCAAAATCTACCAATCGTTAAAGTTCTATCAGGATAAGACCATAGGATATTATTAAGCAAGTTTTATCAGATTTATCTATAAATTTCTCTATAATAAACTCTATAAATCTCTCTAATTAACTAACTACACATTATCAAGCCCTTCAACCATCAATACTTCTCTATCAATCGTCATATCTGATTTCACTCCCTTATGCAAATAATCTTCATGAGTTATCATTGACTTCTATCATGTTTTATTTATTCATCCAGTTTCTTGGTTTCCACAGCTCTCAGTAGACATGCCTATTGTCCGGTCACAATTACTCACACCATGTTGATATATCACGTTTGATGATTGAGATCACGGAACAACATACAGAGTGTTCTAATTAAAATAAATCAATTTCTAATTAATAATAAATATGATTTCAGAAGCTATCACGATATTGTTTCCACTGACGGTTTTAAATTGGGCTCCACATTACAATTTTTTTGCAAGATTATTCTAATCATTGTAAATAAATTTCAATATTTGCTAAAATAATGATTCGGCTAACAAATTAACAACGCTGAATTGCTCAATTTGTCCAAGGTTTTGGGTATATAGCACACGTCCTTTTCAAACGTCCTGTATAAGTTATACCTGTGTCAACTTTTGATGCTATTGTTTCATTGGAAAACATTAAAACATTGTTGATTATTCAAACAGAATTTTCAATAGCGGAACAGTCAATTCCGCGTTCAGTCTGTCATCGCTTTCGTTCACTGTACTCGCTCTTTCGCGGTTTCTGTGCCTGTTAATTATCGTTATCTTCAAAGGCCGGCACCTAAATGGATATTTGTAATTATTATTGACACAACATAGCTTTACCGTGTCGTTATATCGCGTTGTTTTTATCAGTGATAAAACAGTGATACAGAAACGCATACCGTGTTCAGATTGAAGTGGTCCTTTCTAAAAATGTGTACGTGAAATATGAATTTAAGGAATAGAAATGAAGAATAGAACTTGTGTGTTATACCTCAAGCGTTTAGCTCTAAACAAGTTTATTGTGCTTATAATATTTTTCAGTATTTTCGTAATCATCTATGAATACACCTTGTACAAAGACACAAATAATTTAAGTCAAACTGAAGAAAATTTTAATTTAGAAAATATAAGCCCTTTTGATGAAGTTAAGTTTCACGAGAAGATTGTTAATTCATATTATAATAGAAGAAAGGTGAACGATTATAAGTTATACAAACATATTACTAGCTTAAGGCACTGCTCTATTTTATTTTTAATTGAAACATAATTTAAAGTCAGTGAACATTGAAAGTGGAGTGCAACATCTGCCGAGTTCACGGAAAAAGAGATTTTCTCAATATAAATAACTAAAAATTGATAAAATATGTGACGAAACGTATAAGTAAAAATCTATGCTTATTCGTGAGTTTATAAAATAATACGAAATTAAGAAGCTTATTTTGTTTGAACAAACTGTAGGATAGCAAGATTGTTTTTGAAAAAAGAACAATGGCGTATTTTTGGATGAATTAATTCCCAGTTCTCCCTCTCTTATGCCATCCTCTTTACTTCCTGATATAACACAAAGTCTACTTTCTACTTTTTCTGTTTCATATATTATCTTCCCCTGTTTTTCTTCTATTATTGTGGTTATAAGTTCGTAGTATCGTATAAAAAGATTACAAAGGTCTAACAAAACTATAATGTCTACCATTTTAGTTAAAAAGAGTTGAATATAATATAAGACACATATTTAGCTTAGTAAGTTAAAAGTTCTTTAAATTGTTTCCAGGAATGGAGAACATCAAATTTAGGGACTATTTTATTCAAGAAAGCTGACATTAATGTATATAGAAAAAAGGCCAACGAAAATAAAACATTCATAGTTGTGATTTGGAAATACTGGAACTGGCTACAAAATCGCCATATGCATAGCTTTGGAGCATCAAAGTAAGTTTCAACAATTTTCTTCCTTTAACCATTATGTTCGTTTTGTATAGAATACCATACATACAACTTTATAAAAATGTACGATCACTATAAAATAATTTTTAACTTAGTTTTATTTTAAATTTATTTTTTGCTTTACTTCAAAAAAGAAATCTTGCCACAATAAGGGTAATATAGAAGTGTTAATTACAATGATGCAAACAACGATAAGCGTTATTCTGCAGAGAAGTAGATGAACCTAATGAAATCTCACGTTATCGTTAAATATACGGAATTATATCTAATATTACAATCTCACTAATAAATATCTCACTAAATGTGAATTTTTGGATAGATGTTTGCTTAAAGTTATCTCCGTAATGGCTGCATGGATCTCGTTGAAAATTGGCATAGATACAGAACAGATAGGCTTCCAATTAAGTTTTTTTTAAATTCCGCACGAACAGAGTCGTGGGCGACAGCTACTTTAATATAAATTAGAATCATCTAACCTCTTTGTACAAAATTAAACCCTCACTATCCCGATCGTAACCTTTTTATAGAAACATTTATTTTATTGATGATTACAGGAAAGATATCTCATTAGAAGGATGCAGTGTCAATAATTGTGTATTTCCAAAGGATGATCAAGATTTTGATTCAGCGGATGCTGTAGTTGTTCATGTACAACACGGATTATTTCCAAATAACACAAAGCAACGGAACCCAGACCAAAGATGGATATTCCTTAGCGATGAATCACCGGTGCATGCTTTCTTTCAATCAGAGCGTCGGATAAAGCTGCAGGATCTAGCGTATATGTTTAACTGGTCAATGACATATAGGTTTGTAAAATTAAAAAAAAACTATTATGCCTTAAAATTAATTAAAACCTCTTTGGTTATAACAACAAGTTATTTATTTTAATTTATCTAATTAGAGTTACAGTATCTAATTGTGGATACATCTTAAATAGAAAAGGGACTAAGATAATCCATAATGTAATTGTTATTTCGTTAGTAGATAAATCTCACACTTTGTTTTTATTTTTTCTTTCAGATCAGAATCCGATGTGCCAGTACCATACGGAAGAACTATACCATTGTCAAAACCAATCGTAGAAAATGCCGAAATCCCAATAACTAATATTATACCCAACTGGAGTAAGAAACGTCAAGATGTTTTAGCGGCAATTTTAATATCACACTGTGGCATTTCATTTAGAATACAATATGTGAATGAATTAAAGAAACATCTCAACCTCGATGTGCACGGTTCTTGTTCGGAAAATCACAAGGATAGGTACAAAATATTAACTTGATTCTAAATAATAAACGGTAAAACAGAATAAATAGTTACTAACCATTACATCTTGTGGGATTCGTTACGTATAATTTATTGCATTACATAATTATCCCTCCATAAAACTAAGATAAAAAAAGCCCATTGCAACATAAACGAATGGGTAGCAAAAAACACGCGTTAAAATCCGTAAGCCTTAACATTTTATTTAAATTTATCCTTAATATAAATTTATTGCATTTTTTACAGCTGCCCGGGACATTTTCGAGCCGATTGTCCAATAATATCTGAATATTTATTTTACTTAGTATTCGAAAATTCTAAATGCGAAGAGTATTTGACTGAGAAATCATTTTATCACGCATATTCTAAAGGTGCTATCCCAGTGATAATGGGTCCAACGGTGGAAGAATGTGAAAAACTTTTGCCTCCGGATTCATTTTTACATGTTGATAACTATGACACGCCCGAGGAACTTGCGATAGAAATTATTAATATCAGCAAAGACATGCCAAGACTACTTCTGTATCACGAATGGCGCAGACACTTTCAAGTTGTCAACGAACACGGATATTTTGGTTCTAAATCTCAACATTATTGCAGAATCTGTGAAGCATTAAATTATAATGATCAAGACGTCAAAATTTATGACGAAGATATGCTAAGACCATTTTTTGACATGTCATCAGCATGTAGATAGTGCTATTTAAATGCATTAAATCGATTCCTGGTTGTTGTAATGATTTTGTTAAACAATAATAAAAATTTATCTTTCTCTGTGAGAATATTATTTTCAAATGGTAACTTGTAACGGCACACGTTTAACTGTTTTCAACTTTTGAACACTATACTACTATCACTTATCGACTTTCTATCAAAAATTAAAAATGGCGCATAAAAAAGTTAAAAGATGACAAAACAAAACCTGCCGCTGGCGCCACATCCTTTCGGCTGTCACTAATTCTCCTCATTGTGTTTCCCTACCATAGTGGGGCTTAGATATACAGAGCACAACTCATACCCTAAGTTTGAATTTTGCCTAAATTTATGCTAATTGAGAGAAAATCGGTCTTCGACCTAAATTTATTTATATCGCAACGCAAAATAAATATTAATATTTTGTTACTTTCTTGTTAGTTAACAATTATTTTAGTTTTATAGTTTCTACAAATAACAATGAAAAGCAGAAAAGTGAACAATTTTTAGCTGTTTGGTCACTTTTAATTTAGAGACTGGCAATCTCTAAGCTCAATGTCATTGTCTATTGTTTGTTGAAACAATTTGTCATAACAATTTTTCCATTTTGCATCATTATTGAATTCACGACCTTTCATTTTCGGGAAGGTGTTATTTTTTAATTTTCCATCATAGTTGTGTTGGCTGTGAAAATCCAATTAATTCTTTATAAGTGTATGTGCCCCATAAAGTGCTTAAAATGGAAAATGATATTAATTTTCACAATTTGCGACTTGATTTGAATCGAGAAATGGAAACAGAAAATAGTGTTTTAACTGAAAATGGACAGACGGAAAATGTAGAAGTAAAATTATCTCCTGTACAAATACAACAAGAATATTTTGAAAACTTACCTGATTGTGATTGGGTTAAGTAAGTAAGCTATTTATTTTTAATACCTATAAATTATTTTTTTTTACTTCACTTTATTCGACATATAATTTATAATTTTCCCATACCCAAAATTATGCATTAAAAACTGGTGCATCACAATTACATAATATTTATTGTTATTACTCTGTTATTACAGATATGAGAAAAGTAATAGAAATTACCTTTTGCAAAATATAGCATTTGCTCTTTTTGGCGGGCCAAGTTTTGAAGGAGATTTATTGAATAATACAGATTACAGAGAAGTGCAACTGGAAGGGTATACATCAAGGCAGAAAGAACAAGTTATGAAAATACATGATAAAATATGTGAACAAAGTAGGTATTAAATAAGTCCTTGAACAAAATGATGTCATAGTTACTAAATATAAATATTACGAAATAAATTTAGGTTTAATATTTTCACAAGCAAATGTAAGCAGGTTCTTACTACAAAGTATATTTGCTACTATAAAATACTAGTCAAATCTCTTCCTCCACCTTCCTTTTATTTTTCCCTATACTTTAAAAGAATAGCTGTTTAATGAAACATATTATGCATAAATAATTATGTTTCTCATTTAAAAACATATCTGTATTAGTTTTATATTATTTATAAAATAATTCTTTTGTTGCAGGCAAATATTCTCAAAATGATGAAGACATTTTTATGTCAATACTTTTAATTGTATGTGCAAAGCCTAAACCAGTGAAATTTTATCAACTTGAACCAGAAAGTCATTGGCTGGACCTACATCAACGGAATGACATTGATATTTGGTGTACAGCTGTCTTCAGAGTTAGAAAATGTATACCAACCACAGTTAACGGTATGTTTTAGAATAAATAGTTGCAAATTTAAAATTTTATGTGGAGTTAATCAACTAGATATCAATTGTTATATGCAAACATTTTTCCAGCAAAACCATGTAGGCTTTTCATTGATGATAATGCAAGAGTTTATCAGGATTGGGATTCATATTTAAAAAATAATACACTACCTAAATGTGTCATAATTGTGCCGGAAAATGGTGAATATGGGGGTGTCATTATTGAGGTATGTCCTAATGTTACATTTTTTATTAAATAATTCTCAAAAATGATATTCAATTAATTTAAATAAATAAATCATGAAACAGAGTAGAGGTTAATACTTAAATTTTTGTTTAGGACATTAAAAACTACTTGCTTTGCAGTCCATTGTAGTAGTTCGGTTTGACTTAGATATCTTGACAGTCTCCGATCTTATCGGACCATTATATTACCACTATACCAGTTTTTTTTTTACTTTGAGGACATTAACATTTGGTATTTATCATATTTCAGGGTGAAGAAATTGCTGTTAAATTAACAGTTGCACCGTCACCTGCTCTTGGTATTAAAGCAAAAGTATTAAGTTCTGTGGACACAGCTAGTACAGTAGCGTCATTGGGAGCGGTCGGAGTGCTGGGAGCTGCGGTATTCACTCCTATCGGACCGGCTGTTTTAGTTGGTGCCACTGTAGCTACGGTGGCCACTGGAGTATATGGGCTATTCCGTTCCTCTCTACATTTACATGATAGACGGACACATGAACAGGTATTTTTATATATTTTTTTGGATTATTTACCTTAATAGTAGTCATATGAGTTGATTAGTGGTAAAATAAATAAAGTGGACACTACTATCATAGGTTTTCTGTTGTAGCTACTGTACATTTTAAAAATATAAATTAGAGATAAGTCATGGTTATGCATCCTTATCTTTCAATTGATAGTTTGTCGTTCAAAGATAACCGTAACCAACCGACAAATCCTTGTTAATGTATTGATAAGAGTCCTTTTACGCACTAATTATAATTGATTAGTACAAGAGGCAATTTTTATTTTTTTTTGATTACACAAACAGTACAAAGACAATTATGATGCAACAATACAAAAGTTCATCAGCACTATTGTGCACAATATTTTGTGACATCATAGCTGTCAAATCGAAAAAAATTAAAATTAATACTATTTAAAATTATGACCTGCCTGATACAATGATTGCCTTTGCCTTATTAAAATATCTTTATATATATAATTCTTCTGTGAGTGTGTACGTCACTAAACTTCTCTCAAACGACTGGACCGATTTTGATGAAATTTTTTGTGTGTGTTCAAAGGGTTCTGGGAATGGTTTAGATTCACAATTTTCATCAAATATTAACTTCATATTAATTTGTTCAAATTAAAGACGTGTAGACAGGATCTGTCGGGTCCGCTAGTATATATATATATATATATATTATAGACTATTAGTCCAACGGACGCAGAGGCGCGAGGTAGTTGGATCAACATCGCTACTTCAAGCGTAGGTTTGGCAGCGAGTGCTGCGGCCGGACTCCTCTCGCGCTCCGCAGCCGCCGGCAGTAACCTGACAAAGGTTAGTATACACAAACTCATTTCATGGGATAGTATAATATAATCTGCAGTTCCTTAATTTTTGTAGTGGCTGATTATAATTAAGAAAACAGTGAATTAAAATTTAAATGCTGCCTTAACTCTAACATCTCAACTACTTATCTTAATTGCTATGATTCATATGTAATGCTTTTTAATACTTCGCTACTGCGATTCTGTATGGCCAACATTGGCATTTTACTGTGCCTGAATCTTTATTAATTCGTTTTTTTTTTCAATTTGACGTCCACCTAGGAGGGGGGCAGAGCCCCCACATATATACACGTTTTAATATTGAAATATTTAACTTTGCAGACTGGTCAGGCGTTGACTATCTCAGTGGACTTACTTCGTCACGCCAACATATTTACGGGCGGAGTTGGCGTCGCTAACAGTCTCCTTGGTATGATTCTTAAAGTAAGTCAAATTATTATAAAACCAGGACTGAAACTTTTCATTCCCCTAGGGAGCAGTTTTTGCTACCAAAAAATTGCACATGTTCTTTCGAACTGTGATTTTGTGTATTTACAAGTCTATACATTTTGTCATTCCTAATAAGACTCATGAAACCATTGCTTCTTTCATATTGGCAAAATATCATTGTAATAATTTGTTCACAGTACCGCAAACATGGCGAGACGCCCAATAAATTGGAGCTGTTCCAATTCTCGGCCGCTATATTGTTCTTCTGTCATGGCGTCATGTCTAACCGCACCGCGCAGAACATTATAGAGGATGCTCAGACCAACACCATCAATGAATATAGAACGACGCTTAGAAGCAACAGGCATAGGTGAGTTCAAGATGTCAAAAACACAAGGGCGAAATTTGTTTTGTGTTTTGCTTCATGAGTGAGGTACCGAAAATTTTATAACAAACTTTTCTAAATAGGATTTGATTGGGGTGGGATGATAGGAAAAACAAATTTACTTTTTTGTCTCTCATCAGGCAACACTTTATTGTTATTGTTGTCTTTGAGTAGCTGGGTAGTCTATGGGTAGTGTGGGTTGCGTGATCAGGTGAACCGTTTTATGAAACAAGGTGTAAAATATACATTTTTTTAGTGTCACTAACAATTTTTGTAATTTCTAGAAAAATATTCGACAAAATAAGCGCCGAATCAAGAAGAGTACAAGGCACTATCCAAGGTAACGTTGAAGTTATCAAAGGTATTAAAACTATCGCTAACAAAGATCAATTCTTTGCCGATGTTTTAAGAATAAACAAAGATGTTAATCAACACAAATTGCGAATATCAATGACATCAGACGGACAGGTGAATTTGAACGCACAACACAAATTCAATCCCACGGAACTCTCTGGTATTGGTAAGGAAGTTAGATCTGAACTGTTTAGTAATTTAGGTCCAGCTAATGTTACAACAAGAAATGTTTCAACAAAACTTACACCTACTTTCTCTGTAGCACAAAATCCTAATACAGAAGAGAACGGTTTTCTTGTTGGTATTCACCCGGGTGAAGTTATAAGAATCGGTACATATCTGGTAAGAGTCAGTGCTAGTGGGGCTGAAGATATTTCTAGGCTACTCGAGGATTTAAGCCAGGAAGTCTACGCTAACCTTATGACAATTTGTCTCAATATACTTTCAAAGTTATTATACGAAGAGATTGCTCGCTTAAAACTTTTGAGTCCCGAAGACGATTTGATAGTCCAAATTGTAAAATTCGTTTTTAATTATTTAAAACAGGAAAGGCCTTTGGGTGATCCATGCTGGGATAATGATAATGGTATAGTTATTATATTGAAAGAATTTTTCCAAGATGGAGTCATTCAAAGTAATACAATTTTACATTTAAAAGATCGACTCTTAGATTGGGTTAATCGTGAAATTTCTGATAGACATTTACGATTTCCTTCAAAGAAGCAAAGCATATGTAATATTTGTACGGGGGTACGTTTTGGGTAATTATTTTTTTTTTAATAAAATATATCAGTGTAAAATTTATATTTTGAAAAAAAAAACGCTTCCAGATATAGATATAGAAAATTATGAAAATTTCTTAATTTATCTGATAAATATTTTAATAGCTTATAAATTAATGCGTCTTGTATATATTATATATATATACATAATAGCTTATATAAACAATTTCCAATAGTTGTTAAAATTTAATTTTATTAAAATTACCAAAATTTTATGTTCCTATGTTTTGACCAAATAAAATACAATTTAATCTAGAATGTAATAAAATTTTATATAAACATAATATGGGACGAAATCTTCAATTTGAAACATATCAAAATATGTCAGATTTGTTATTATTTATATACAATTTTTTATATTTGTACACTATAGAGTAAAAATATCTCATTTTGTACTTGTGGCGGTATTTTATATATTTTATATAGTATATAATAGTTTAGTATATAGTTTATGTAAAGTGGGAAAGATATTATTTTGAAGTATATCAGTGATATAAATGCACTAAATAAATGCCTGCTTTCTCTTCTTACTTTTATAAACGTTTTTAACGAACTATAACAAACCACTAACCGTTGGTTTCTAAGTCCAAAATCTTTGTAAAACATATTGTCATCCCTGTCTTTCATCTTTGACAAAACAGTGATAACCATATGTTTTAAACGGGGATTTTGGTTTCGAAAACCTACTGTTAATAGATTATTATATAAAGATGAGTATTCGCTGAATAAACGTCCATACAAAAAACATTTATATCTCAATTACGATATTTTGTATGGATTTTTCGTCAGTGGAAATGCACGGTTATGATAGTAATTTAAGTGCACTGTGACTATGTAACTTTGTAACATTAGTGCCTTCATATAATAATATCTCCTACAGAGTAGGGTTTTAAATGCAATTTATTATGTATGTTATGGAATTTATATTCATTTTAATAAATCATATTTATTACAAAAGATTGTTTGTATACTTAAACCGAGAACTCCATTGTACAACCCTGAAATTTTCCAAAAGTTCAGGTCGTATAGAGTTGAACCATCGATGTATGCCAACTAAATTCGCAGCTCATGGCTCATTGCGATGTATACTATAACAGCCAACGCGCTACGCGCCGCCTGGTGACTCGCAACTCACAGTTCGAACCGCAAATGATAACTATGGAGTTAAAAAATGAGCTTAGCAGTGAGCTGCTTCACTGAACTGATCTGCAGGTCTTAAAATTTTATTGAGATACTATGTTTCCACCTTACTTGAGCATAGAAAATGCAGAAAAAAAGAGCTACAGTACGAAGAGGACTTTGTGATGCTGTTTTAACATTGATAGGAGCACGCTAGTGAGATCGTGTGTAAAAATATATTCTTCACTGTTTTTCTATAGAGAGTAAGTGTGATGAAAATATTTTTGTGTGGTCGTGGTTATCAACGATGACAAAAGATAAGCTATAAAACATAATACAGCTGAATGTTTGTCGTGTCGCAATTTGACAAAACACGTAACTTTAATCTATCCACCTAAAAAACCTTCCAAAAAGGTTAAATGAAATTCAGCATAACGGAAAATTATTTATTAAACGTGATGAATACTGATATTCTTAACAGTCACGTTACAATTATTAGATTTGTTTTACGTCTAGTTATCTTTGCCTTTTAGTTTCTTTTCCTCCGTGGGATCCTGTGCTGATGGGTTGTATTCAAAGAATTTTGCTATAAAGTACCTGTAAATAGAAAATAATTTTTAGAAAAAGGGGCTGACACATTTTTTTAACTGGCATATTTCATTTACGATTTTAAATTTCAGCCAAGGGCATAAAGTTTTTTTTAGGGGTTAAGATAGAAGTAATGGACCGTAGTTTACCAACCAGATTAATATTTCAGTGGTAATAAGAGCGCAAGCCGCTAAAGATTGTAGAAAAAGTCTGATTGGGGCTTCTGAGCTTCGCAGTATTGTGACAAGTAAGGCATCGCTTGCGTCTGAAGCCGCCTCCAGCGCAGCCACAAGAAGAGCTGGCGCGGCCAACCATCTGGCGCCACGTTGCCACCAAGATTTCTAGGACGAGGAATAGTTTATTTAAAAAAAATCTATCCACCGGTCAGTTGGCAGGAAGAAAATAAACTTGAAGACTTGATTGAAAAGATAAAGATACAAATGTGTTGACACTTCATTCCTGAGACGTTAGCCGTAAGCCAAATGCCGTTTGGGCTCCAGATCTCAAAGGAACGACCTAATTATTTGCGAATAACAATACTTTCTTATCAGTAGGGAATCACAACATTTCAGAAATTCATGTACGTCCTTTTTAGTTATGTCTTACCCTTGACATGACTGCAATTAGTAATAACAAAGAAGTCACAGCAGTGACAGTAGCACTCAGAGTCCCATAGCCAATTACCAAACGAATCGTAGGCTTTGCGATCCTGAAAAGAAGTATAAAAATACTTAAAATATTTATCGTTTTTGTGTTTTGTAAATTATGCAACGTAAGAGTCTAACCATTTAACTCTTGATTAAATTCCTTGAACAGAAAAGATCAAGAGTTAGTGTATTGCTGAGAGCGTTGTTTGATTGATAATTAATCTAGACTTACCGCCTCGCAAACGTTACATTGTTCAATCTTTGTGCCACTTCGTCATCTTCCAATTCAAGTTCAACCGGCTGCGACGCAATTGCGCACAATGACATTGATATTCCGAAAAGTGCCACCATAAGCGCACGCAGTTTAGTACGAACTCCCACTGCAGATTCCTCTTCGTTTTCTTTGTTTAACTGTTTAAATTAATGCACTTTGTTTGGGACAAGCGTCAATAAGTTCACTGTCATGGGTATACCAGAAGATAGCGGGTTTGAAAAAGAATTGGGATAGGACTAGAAGAAAACTCTTGAAACGTTAATGATTGAGTTTGCATGGGTCGGTTTAAATAAATAATTGTACTTACCTTATTGTTGTCCTTTTCACTGTGTTTCAATTTAAGTTTATCTAACAGGGTACAGCTTACATTCTCCATAGTGTGACGGAGAATGATCAGCTAGTTACCATGACTTTCAAATTTTGTCTTCCATTATAAAATGTTGTTGAGAAACAATGTTTAACTGAATTGGATCATTATCACTTAGACGCTCGCTTACGCTTTGCCTCTTGACAAATGTAATTCGCTGTCAAAGTGATATTTATTTTTCCCATTTTAAACAATGCATGAGAACTTTTTACAAATAAAAAGTCTGATAATTTTGTAGCAACTACTGTTCCATCTTTTTATTAACTTTTAGAGATTATCGATGATGATTCTTTAGGTTATTTGACGTTATCAATAAAACACCCCAACCTCCTTTAAATTTAGTTACGTTAAAGTGTACGAAAACAACTGTGTGGTAATTTGTATTAAAAATCTTTTATTTAGCCCGATCGAGAATAATAATTCTAATGATGAAAAAATATACAGTTATCTAAATCTGTTTGTTAACAAAGATTAAAAAAATGGCATAGCGAAAGACTTCGATAGTACGTGAATAAGAGAAGGCTCATAAAAATAATGATACATTTTACATCTGACGTTTTTAGTTATGACGTGTGGTAATACACTTTATTTAGAACCTTCAAGGCTTGAGATTACCAAGTCCTTTTTTTTTAAAACAACCGTAGGTAGATCGAAGAACCGAAATTAAATTTAGAGGTCACAGAAACATAGATATTGTATAAAAACACAGAATTCTTGGCACCAGTTGAACATCATAAAAGCGATAGCAGTTGATAATGTTCGTAATTGAATAACCGATTTTAAATTCATTCTTGTTAGAATAATCAACGCGTTTAAAGTTTTAGCTACCACCATTAAAAGATGAGCAAACATATGCGGAAGAAACAAGGCCGGGTTCTCCTAAAATAGAAACAAAAAACAATTTCATTCTACCTTCATTCAGAGTATAAAGCAAAGAAGTTTAATATCTTACCGTAAAGCATCCAACTAAAAGACAAGTATGTTGCACTATTCCCATTGATGCAGCGATAATTTTAAGATCATGAACTACAAGAGTATTTGATTGAACATTTGAATCTTGTGCATTTTCAAGATTTTTCCCGAAATGTCTCTTCAAATGGCAGACATTGATAAACTGAAAGGCAAATTTACCTCGTAAAGAATTCGTGTTTGAAAATATTAATAAACTTGAATTTTATAACAAAATAACACAACAGATATTACACAACACCAACTGTTCCGTAGAAGTAAGTATAAGGTAAACTTATACAAAAAGTAGGATATTGACAAAATTCATTAAAACATTTCAAGTTAGGCTTGAGTATGGGCGTCAATATGCCATTAAAAGGTAACTTCATTGTCTCATGTCCTATATTAGGTTAACATTTTTTTACTACAGGTTATTCAAGAGTTACCCATCTTTCTGCAAATAAAACGTGACACTTGACAGTTATGTTTTTTATTGGATAACAGATAATGCAACTTTTCCACATAAAGAAATACTCTATGAGGGTGAGACAATGTATCAAAATCCGAGGTTACTACAACGCTCCTATCATCATAGTGCTTATCTTGAATGGCGGCTAATCATCAACCATCCCAACTCAAAAAATAACCACCGCAAAACTATTGATTTAGCCTATGAGCTAGGAATAAAAACATCGTACAGCATAAGCTAAGATTCTTCTCTCCCCAATTCTTGCTCTGCATATACTTTCTCCATTCTTGTTACTAGGCTCTGGTTCCTTCAATTTCCAAATTTTAAATAAAAATAAGTTTGTTTATAACGCTTTATTTAATATTATTACCAAATATAATTGTAACTATATTATAATTTTGACAAAAAGACTATTGTACAATTACCAATAAACTTAGATAACAACATTACAAAATATAAAAAAACATACATTTTAAAATTCACAGAACATAAATATTATCACAATGCATATCGTTTTTGAATATTCCTGTACATTGGGACATCATAGCTCTATTTATGGCCAAAATAGGACTAACCCTTTCACAGCCGAAGGAAAGTAAATAGGCTAACATTGGATGTCGTCTTGTTGGTGCTGCAACAAAGGTTCCATCTGTGCTAATAACTAGAACTGGCAAAGTTATTTGATGGTCATATATGTTTAAATTTTCTGTAACAATTTCAGAAGAGTCAAATTGATTCACTGGCTTCGGTAGGCTAATAAATTCTGCCGGGAATGGTATGTTTGGAATACTATCTGTTAGTATAGATATATCGTAAAATATTATATTTGGCAACAGTCCATCGAGAGTATTGGTTAAATTGACTAATTTATCTAGTCCTGCAACTGATTGCTTAGTGTTATTTTCAAAAGAAGTGGTGTTCTCAGTAGTAATTGTTTCATTTGTTACTTCAGTCGTAGTAGCAATAATGGAAGTTGCCGTATCATTTAGATTACTGCTTGCGTTAGCATATGTTAAGTTTTCTTTGAATTCGGTGGTATTCGATTTCATAGTTGTAGTGACACCAATTGCCCAATTGTACAAATCCGATTCACCTTCATATGTTACCCGACTATCACGCTTATTTCTCTGGGAACGAATAGCATGTTTGTTGACAGATAAACCGGGAACTGCTTCACTATTATACCATAGAGAACGATTGAAAAATGAACACGTTTCGTTTAAAACATGATGGATCAGCAAATTAAACATAGCGAAAAATTCGTTTTGTTCTTCTTCGTTAATTTTTTTCAATGCATTCAAGTACTTTTCACTTTCAATTCCGTCATTGTGCTGTCTTAATATTGCTGACATTCTTCTGTCTGGATGTCGGTGCATGTTAAATATATCGTTGTAAGTGGTGAGGTCCATAGATATGCCGCCATACTGCCACACTGTAAATGCTCTCACGTAAAAGTTTAAGAAGTGCATTGGGATTGTTCTCCATTTATACCTATGAGGAGTCAAAGCCATATATTTGCTTAGAAGCATCATCGTTACATTTACATTAGGGTACTTTTTCTGGATTATCCTAATATCTTTTTTATTATTTTGGTCGAAAATATCCAATATGTTACTAGTAGATTGAATTAGCTTATTATAAAATCTCGTATGCCTCGAGCCTTGAATCGGCGTTTGTGATGAATCATCCATTAGAAAAAATACATTGATGTGAAGCAAAGGATATTGCTGTGCTATGCTTGAAATATAGTCTGAATACACGAGAAAGGAGACATAGCTTCCACGTGGTACTATATGATGGTAGGTAACGGTGCTGGCCAGTTTCGAAGCATTACACCTATTGATGATCATTGGCTGCCTTCGGTATGCATTTATGCCCAGAGTGTAAAAGGCAAGAAATGATATTCCAATTAAAATGAATGTTATCCAGCAAGCCGAAATGAATTCTGTAAAAGTAAATATACTGCAATAGTAAAAGATAGGATAGTAGTATACATAAAGTAAAATGTAAATAGTAATTTCAATTCAGTCTAACCGGGCCAACGATCTATCCAAGATTGTTTTGGAGTACGAGTAGTGTGGCAGACAGAAGTGATGATGCAGGGAGGCGCTGGTGGAACACGAATGCATCCATCGCTCCCTCCGCTGTCTACTTTCAGCAGTGGGTATTGTTCTCCGTCCTTTATCCCAATATGCTCACCCATCGAGTACTATGAAATTGTAATTAAGCAATGACTTTTAATAAGAGTAAAGTGCTATCTCCACATGCACTTCCAATTTTTTTTAAGCCTAGCTGCCATAAAATGGGACGAAAGACTAAGGCCTTATTGCAATCTTTTCATATATTCGTAATAAATGAATGATAAAACTTTAGTTTCTGTTTACATTTTATATTAAACTATAATTTTATAATACTATCAAATTTATTAGACCTTACCTTGTGATATTTATGATTTGTAAACGCTAATGTAATTTTAACAATTTGACGTTTTATTTGAAATTTGCTAATCAAATCACTTGGATTTAATTCAAATTTTGAATTTCAAAAATTATTTCACGGATTTAGTTTTTGCTTGATTATTTTAATTTCGAAAGAGGTTGCATAGAATTTTATTTGAAAACGCTTGTGACTTGTTCTTGGTATATTAAGAGATGATTAATAAATATGCACAGGACGCTTAGGTAAATCTTGTAAAATTATTTTTGGTAAAGGATTTATAAAGTCTTATCTCACATGATTACCAGATTTTGTAATTTGATATCATATAAACAATAGTTTTTTTTATAAGAGAAGGGGGCAAACTAGCAGCCGGAAAACCGAGGTGTTCTTCGACGCCCATGGACATCTGCAATACCAGAGGGACTGTAGATGCATTGCCGGCCTTTGAGATGGTGATACGCTTACTTCTCGAAGGACTAAGTCGTAGAGGTTTGGAAATAGTTTCTATTTCCTAGTTCATTTTTTGTGATAAGCATCGAAGGAAAAGGTGTGGGGAACGAAAGCAGGTTAAACGTGCAATAAGGCATAAATATTATATTTATTAATTAATAATTTCACCTTGAAGTATCGCTGACTCAGAGAAATTACGACAATATGTAAGAGCGTCATTATTTGAATTCAATACGTGTGCATAAAAATTGGTTATATCAACAAAATTATAGTGGAAAGTGTAAACGTACGAACGTTGCGAATCAAACAAAAACTTAATACATCTTATTACTCTTAATGCAACATACGAATATGTTTATACAGTGGTCTCTATACAGTGAAGTTCTTTTAAATAAGTAAAAAAATCACATTAACAAGTTTTTAATTGTTTGCAATAACGAAGAATACTGGTATGTTTTTTTATGTTTTCTTGTATTGTAGTAGTAATCAAATAACGGATGTGAATAGGTGAAATATTTTACAATTTATAACATTTCAGGCTCAAGTTTAATTAATACATGATAATTAGATGTGGAGAGAACGTGTAACTCCCTAATATTCCTTATTGAGATATCACATAACATTTTCATTACGTAGTCTCCAATATTTTAGGAACTATAACACGGTGAGTAATATTTGTGTTTTTAGCATTCCTTTGTATTTTCATCACCTGTAAACTATTACGATACCAAACTAACTAATAATGTCGAGTTTTGAAGTTTACGTATGGTTTGTTTTTGTCCTCGTACCCAAACTGACTATGAGTGATCACTTAGCACTAAGCATCCTACTGCTCGTTTGCCTTTTCTAATAGTTTAGTAGATTCGTATTATATGAAATACGGCAGAGACAGAGAGACAAAGTCGAGAGCATTTATTATATTTTACAAAAAGGATGTATAATAATCAAAATAAGATTCCACACTCCCGCAAACGTCTATAACAAAACTATTTGGCTCGAAAATGTTTTTAAAAATTACGTGTCATTAACATGTGACGGACTATTTGACGTATTTTTTAATTTTAAAGTGTCATTAAAAGAAAGTCCTTCTATTTCTGTTTTGAAGTGTAAGAATCCTCACAAATCTCACGTTTTAGTAGTCAAAAGCGCGTTCTGTAGAAAAACCTATCATATACTCCCCATTTAGTAAATGTCGATTATTTTGTTATTTCAGTAACACAAATGGCCAGACATGAGTGAAATGTACCAGGAGCAGCATCCGTTGTTGTGCGATGACTTTTCTGACGACGATTTCAACTGCCAAAGTTACAGTCCTCGGGCAAATATACGCATGCGTCCTCTCGTTTACAGCGGACGAGCTAAGACTCAGATGAGAGGTGCTGTTGCGGTAATGAACAGATGGCCAGGTAAATATCATGTACCTTATATCTCATTTAGATTCAATGCCAAAATTATGTAAACATGAGAAAGTCAACATAGCTGCCATTATGCTATTCAATTATTTCAATTATTATATTTTATGTAAAAGTAAACTGTTATGGTATTATATGGCTAGGTAATGTTATAGTTATCTTTTTATTTCAGACCAGTTGTGGTCGACACTAAAGTACTGGTGGATGGGCATCGCTATGTTCGGTATCATAGTTTTAATTGTTTACAACAGCGTCGTTGCCTTCTCTATGCTTTCACTCACGTACACTAATATAGGAAAACCGAGATTACCCTACAAACCTTTCGAGAATACTGTGATAGACGATACCAAACTTAATGTATACATGCACATTTTTGCTAACAAATATGAAGAAATTAATTTCAATACAGTATTGCCGTATGTTGAAATAACGACAAAAAGATATCAAACATTAAAATTTCATCTTATTGCTGTAATTAATGATACAATTAAAGAAAGCGACGCTATGAATGATCAAAGTAGAAATGACTTAGCCCTTCAATCGTTATGGCAAGATGAAACCTTTGACATTAACCGTAAAGTAGTTCAAAATAATCTTATTTTAACTTGTGTTTCACTAAATAAGTATATGAGTAATCCAATTATGCCAAAACTTAACAAAAATCTGTCACAAGATTTTACGGAATTTTTAGTAAGAGCACTATCTATTTGGGAGAAAGGTGGTGTTGCTTTCAATCCAAATGTACTTACACCAAAAACACCCGATACAATTTACTTAGAACCGATACAAAACATACTCAGTAAGTACAAATTATTTGATAACAAAAAATCAGAAAGTAAAATAAATATAAATAATCATCAAGTAGCACATACTAAAAAGAAAGTAAATAATATTCGCGATATAATTGAAGCTTTGGAAGCAGGAGACAAATCTTACAATACTACTCAATATAATTTGTTGGAAGAAGAAAATAGAGTCAACTTAGTCTCCGACAAGCCTTTCCTAAAAAATGAAAACATCTCTGATCCTCTGCTTTTGTTACAAACCGTACACGAGATTTCTAATAAAAAAATGAAACCAATCCAACAGAACAAAGCCAGTGATCGCTTCAAAAAAGAAATTGGTGGGCATCATCATCAAATACAAATGGAATCAAAAATTAACTTAAACAATGATACACGACCAAGTCTCCTCCCATTGTTTTTAGAATTCTTATTTCCTAAAAGAGATACCTTCATATCTGACGATATAAGAACGAAAAGGGACAAACTAAACGATAAGAGCAATGGTTCAAAAAATGAACACGATTCGAATTATCATACATCCGATGAAAACGATGTTCATGTAGCTATTGAAAATGGAAACAAACAACAGGATTTAGTTTCTAATTATCACACAGAGGACAGTGAACATGACACAAATACTCACTTGACAATTGATTTAAAGGGAAATGTGATAGCTTCAAATACACCGTGCCACGCGTTCGTGGCCACTTTACTGAATAACGCAGCTGATCATAACGAAGGAGAAACAGTTTCTGAATATATTATTGCACAACTAACTATTTTTTGTAAAGGAGTTCTTTTTTCCTCGTGTAAGGGTATCGATGTAATTTTATAATAGAGTTATTTTAAAATATTCTTAAACGTATTGTTGTTAATGTTATTATTTTTATAAAATAAAGACAATTTCCAAAATAATTATTTAATTTCGTGTACTTATGTAGCTACTTATAAATGTAATTGATCAATCGTGTTCAAAATATTGCCTCCGCGTTATTGCTAGCAATATCTTGATCACAAGTCGAATATTATCCTTAATCTAGTCATGACAAATTTTATCAGGCATTAATCCGTCTTTTTGACATTCTTAGCCAATTGTCACCGAGCAACAGACTAGAATTTCTATCAAATACGTATCGATTGTATGCTTTAGTATTACTTTCACACGTATTTCTCACATTATTTAATTTTTAACACTATGTTTGTTTTTACATGAGCTTAAATTAACGTTGGTTATTTTTCAATTACGCGATATTTTTCGTCTCAATTGGAATTTCTGATCTCCCAATCCATTGATTAGAAGAATATTTACACGCAGCTATCCTCAACTTTGGTTCGCATCTTCTACTCACTGACCAATACACATAATTGTCTGGGCAACGATATACAAAGCCTTGCAATTTTCCTCTTTTAGAAATTTCACATTTCAATATGGCCGGCGAACATTCTTCATTTTTTTCAAATGGAAAATGACCAAGTCCAGTACACCCATATTTATTTTCGTTTACAGAAATCTGAAAAAAAATTACAAATTTATATAGAAGTAAAACATATTCATGCATTATTTAGCAATTAAAATATTATTTACGATAATCATAATACTCACAGTTTCCTTGCTATTAAGATTTAAACGTTTTATTCTCCGGTTTTTAGCTATAGCACCTTGGCATTTCTTTGCAGCTTTGCTTTCCTCAACACATTGAATTTTACTTTCGTCATAAATTGTACCATTTGGACAATTGAATGTTGCTATCTTCAGTTCGTGGTTATCATTATTTTCTATACATTGATAGAAAAGATTACAATACTTTGGATGTCTCTTAAACGAGGTTGGGCAAGCGTACAAATATTGATCATCTTCAGTTTCTGGACAATCCTTCACTGTAGAACCTCCTTGGGTAGTTGCTTCAGTGTTTTCTGTTGTTGATCCAGTACTAGTTGGAGTAGCTTCAGAAGTAGAAGTGTTTGTTACTTCAGTGCTCGAGTCTGTACTAGATTGCTGTTCTGTAGTAGATCCCGGTGGTGTAGTTTCTTCTGTCACACTCGCAGTTGTCGTCGTAGGTTGTTCAGTAGAGGATGGTTCAAGAGTAGTAGACGTTTGTTGTTCAGTCGTACTTATTGTCGCCTCCGTTGTAGAAGTAGTTTGTTCACTTATAGTTGTTTGATCAGATGTACTTGAAGTATTTTCACTTGTAGGTGTATCTACTGTTGTGGTTGTAGATTTGTCACTCTGGGTGGTTGTCGTATCTGTAGTAGATTGTTCGCTGGTGGTTGTTTGATCAGAAGTTGTCGTAGTTGAATCAGTTGGTCTTACCGTGGTAGAAGTGATTTCAGTGGGTGGCACAGTTGTAGAACTATCAGTAGATGTCATAGTTGTAGAAGTGGTATCAGTTGCAGTTGTAGTTGAAGAAGCCAATTGACTTGTTGATGACTGTTGTTCTGCAGTTTGACCTTCTGTTAGGGTGGATTGCGTACTAGTTGTGTCACTACTAGACTGTTGGGGAGTAGTTGATTCGGTTGTAGTAGTCTGAGCCGTCGTTGTACCCTGTGAAGTATTATTAACTTGCGCTTGCGTAGCACCACAGTTACGTGGGGGATAAACGGATTCTTCATAGTTACAAGTATCAAGAGCGGGGTCCCAAATGGTGCCTTCTCCGCATTCAAAATGAAAAACTGAAAATTTTTTTCCATCGCCATCCCAATCTACACATCTGTAAAACTTTTTGCAATCACTAGGATGGGGATAAAATCCTGCTTTAGTGCAGGTTATATTTTCATTTGTAGGGTTTTTCGAAGTTCCTTCTCCAGAATTACTTGGAGTTTGCGCCGTTGTGCGTTCTGTGGAAGTAGAGAACGTTGTAGTCTGTGTCGATTTTGATGGGGTTGCAGTTTGTGTCTGCATTCCAGACGTTGCAGTTTGTGTCGTTATTGTTGATGTTGCAGTTTCTGTCGGCGTTGAAGACGTCACAGTTTGTGTCGTCGTTGACGATGTTGTAGTTTGTGTTGGCATTAGAGTTGTCGCAGTTTGTGTCGACATAGAACTCGTTGCAGTTTGTGTCGACATTGTTGTTATTGATTGAGTTGACGATGAATGTGTAGATAAAGATGCACTGGTTGTCGATTGACTTGACGCTTCTGTGTTTTCGCTTGTAGTTTTGTTACCACATGACCGATTCGTAACATCTCTAGGATGATTGCAAGTTAAGATGTCTTGATCCCAAATAGTACCATCACCACAAATATAATCGTATCGAACAAAAGTACCTTTCCCGTCGTTAACACATCTATAAAATTTCTGGCAGTTCTCTTGATTTCCAAAGTAACCTTCACTTCTACATTCAGCTATATTGGAAGCATCTTCTTTAATGGATGATGATTCTGGAGTCGAAGTGGTTGATTTTGTTGGCATAGTTGCATCCGTTGTCTTATGTTCTGTATCTACATCAGATGATGAAGCAGGAATCGTGGAAGTTACTTCATTTACTGTTACTGATTGAATACTGCACGTAGAATTATCGCTATCATGATCACACGCTTGGATATCTTGCACCCAAATTGTTCCTTCACCACACGTAAAGTCATATTTTATGAATCCCTTCCCATTACTAACACATCTAAAGAACTTTTTGCAATCTTTTGAATCTGGGTAAAAACCTTCTGCAGAACAAGTATTACTCATATCAGCCAGATCATTATTTCCTTGAGTGGAACTTTCTTGGGGTTGTGTGGTATTGTAAGTTTCAGTACTACTTGGCATAATAACTGATGATGGTGCTTTAGTTACTGAAGTTGTAGTTGAGCCTTTGCATTTCTCATTTTCAGTAGACGCATGATTGCAAGCTTGTATATTTTGATCCCAAACTGTACCTTCACCACAGCTAAATTCATACATCAAGAAACTTCCCTGTTCGTTTCTGACACATCTATAAAACTTTTTACAATCTTTTTCATCGCCATAAAAGCCATCGGATGTACAAATGTTGTTTCCTGTTGGTGTCGTTTTTATGGTAGTTGGTGATTCGGTTTCCGTTTGTCCAGATACATTTTTATCAACTTCAACAGAAGCCGTAGCCACAGTTTGTGTAGTCTTAATGGGTGATGATGTGGTGGTGTTATAATTGACTGTGCTGCAGTCCTTTACTGACGATGCATGATTACATGCTTGTATGTCTGAATCCCACAAAGTTCCTTCCCCGCAAGAAAATTCAAAACGATCGAAGCCGCCTAAGCCGTTTTCGACACATCTATAGAATCTCTTACAGTCATTTTTGTCCGCCATAAATCCAGCAGATTGACACTGCAGACCTTTGTCACTGACAGGTACGCTATTGGTAGATAAATCAACAGTGCTTTGTACGGGTTGTTGAGTTTGATCGTAACTCTGTGTAGAGTAACCACTCTCAAAGTCGTTAGAAGTAATCTTGGTTGGTGTAGAATGCGTCGCAGACACTTCGTTTTGATTGTTAAAACTACCTCCACACTTTTTCACAGCCCATGCATGATTGCATGCTTCTATTTCAGGATCCCATACTGTACCTTCTCCACAAGAGAATTCATATTGTTTGTAAGTCCCATCACCGTTTGATACACATCTATAAAACTTTTTACAATCAAAGTTATCTCCAATAAATCCGCTGTTAATGCAAGAATTGATTGTATTGGAACCAGAGACTGTTATATTTGATATATTTACTACCGTAGAACTTTCTGGAGTTTTCATTGGGTCTTTGTCAATGTCATTTGATTGGCTATCAAGCAAATGGTCATCGTTTGCAGGCGGAGGCAAAGGCAAAGGCTTATTATCACTTAACTGCACAGTAGTTTGCACAAGTGATACAGTGGTAATAATTGTTGACTCTGTACTAGAAATACTTGATATTGTTTGATTTCCGACATTATATCCGCAGTCCTTTACTTGCCCAACATGGTTGCATGCTTCGATACTTGGATCCCATGCAGTTCCATCGCCACACAAATATTCAAATTTTGTAAATCCGCCATTGCTATTTTCTACACATCTGTAAAATATTTTACAATTGTTTCGGTTACCCATGAATCCAGCGAAATTACATATTTCTTGGCTTCCATTTAATTTGGCAGGTTCTTCAACTATTTGAGTTACTACTGGTAGCACAGTAGTTGGTCTTGAGATATCATGTTTGTCGACATCATTCCAATTATTATAACCATTATTGTCGTTTCCATTGTCGTCCTTTATTGTATTCGATAACGTCGTATGCATGTTTTCTGGTTCGTAGCGTTCGGAAGTGAAACTGTTAGAAATACCTCTATCTCCACATTCTTTAACCATCCATACGTGATTACATGACTCAATGTTTTTATCCCATGCTGTGCCTTCACCGCACTGAAATTCATGTTTGATAAAACTACCTCTTCCATTTTCGACACACCTGTAAAATTTTTTGCAATCTTGCGGGTCACCCATGAAGCCAGATTCGGTACATGCATTATTTGTTACTTTATAATTTGGATTATTTGTGCTGTAAGAGGTGTCATGTCTTACCGCATCTGGTTTAAAAGAACTTGTCTTTGTGATTGTTTCGTAAGACTGGGTGATGTAACCTAATTCTTTTTCTGTGATAGGGTAATAGGTTTGTTTTTCTTGGCTGTTTTGGCTGCTTGGTATTTTAGTAGTCGCATTCTTTTTATCATTCGAGGTTGTGTCTTCTTCGACGTTTATTTGTTCTCCATAATTACTTTGATGTGAAGTACTCAATGGCAAATTAATTGTAACTGGTATTTCTGTCTTATTTGACTCAAAAGTAGATAATTGTTCTTCGTTAAGGCTGTTATTTTTTTGAGAATAATATTCATCATCCTTAGAACTGAAGTCACCATACGATTTATCACGTCCGCAACGTCGATGGTGAACAGCCCACGGATGATTACAGCTTTGTATATGATCGTCCCATATTGTTGATTCACTGCACATGAATTCAAATATTTTGAATCCGCCTCTTTGATCATTAACACATCTATAAAACTTACGGCAATCTTCGGTATCGCCCATAAATCCATCGTGGACACATTCATTACCCAATCTTGCTGTTGTAATTGTTGTCGTAGATCCGTATTGGTTAGCAGTTGGCGTCCATTTAGGCTGTGATGTTGAAATAATTGAAGGGAATGGTGTTTGAAGTATCGTTGTCGGGGTGTTTTCATTTGTTTGAGCCTTAATTGTACTTTGAATCTGATTAGGTGGTAAGTATGGACCATACCCAGGGTTTTGGACTGCAATTGGAATTGGAGTAGGAAAAGTTGCATATGCACTCGGCAATTCTGAGTTAATAGTTTGTTTATCATATATAGGTTTTCTTGTAGTAATAGGAGATGGAAATTCATGAACAGCAGGTTCTATCTCATTATCATTGAAGTGTTTTACTGGAGCTGTTATAAATTGGAAGGGTCTACTGGATCTACATTCCGATCGTTTAGTATTCTGTGGATGGTTGCAAGATTCGATTTCTGGATCATAGACAGTTCCCGGACTACATTGAAACTGAAAAAAAAGAAATTAATTATCGTTAATTAAGTGAATTAAAAATATAAAAAATAACACCATTAATGATTCGATATTAGCAAAAAAAGTACCTTGACTATTGTAAATTTCCCCCTTGAAGCTTTGATACATCGGTAAAAAAGTGAACAGTCTGTCGGTTCTGCTAGGAACCCTTCATTATAACATGTAATTGGCTCAAGCTTAGGTCCAGAATACAATTTCACCACACGACCACGTGGATGTCGACTGTCATCTGAGGAAGCTAAAGAAATGAAACTTTTTAAATATTCAAGGAAAATTGAATTTAAATAAAATTATTTTTAATAATACCCACTAGTGTTATGTTGTGCTCCTTTTATTATTACGGATTGTGTTAGTAGAACAATGTAACATCTTAATAAGTATCTTTTCATCGTGATTTTGAAGGTATCTTTTGCAATCAAAAGTCACAGTTTTTAAAACGTTTTTATAAGTAAATCATGTTTGTTGCATACAGCAATCTGAAACAAATAAATTGCAAACATATGTTAATGAAACTTTGCTATTTATATTATTAGGAAAAACATTATCATCAATCTGCCCTTATCCCTATTGAGGGTTGGCACAGTATGCATTACTCCTTCATACATCTATCAGCCGTCATATCCGAGTCTACGCCCCTCCTTCGCATATCCTCTTTCACACAATCATTCCATACTTTTTTTGGTCTTTATTATAAGGAAAAACATCTATATGTTATTTATTGTGTAACGAAATTAATAATCTCAAAATATATTATATGTATTCCCATTGTCCTAATTTACTATATTTTATCTTTATCAAACTTAAAAATTAAATTTTTGTTTATTCCTGGTTACATGTAAGTAAACAATTAGTTTTTATGTATATAAATTAATCTTTAGTGATTCAAGTAGAGTATATTCACTATTCTTTTTATTAATATTATAATGTGGCAAACGAGCGAACGGCCACCTGAAATCGCTGAAATAGCGAAGTGACCGTTGCCCATAGACATACGCAATTGCTTATGCGTTGTCTACCGTTAATCGACGGAGCAGAGGATGCACAGAAAGAAAATATTTTCCCTTTCCATGCATCCTCTCATCCGGAAAGTTCACTTCCACTTCCCATCGTTTCCATATAAGAAAAAAGGTGGGAAGAAAAAGAGGACTAAATTAGGCCTCTGGGACGCACATTCATCAGACGAAACGCGGAATTGCTTCCACTTCACGCCTGTCTTCTGTGTGGTCGTGGTATGAAAGCGAGCCGGCCCAATTCGTGCGAGATGTTAAAGCGGGCTCCACCACTGTTATACTAATTTATAATATTCTTTACTAATTTATTATTTATGTCATTGATGATTAATCAATTAAGCAAATAAAGACGGTACTACACAACTGTATGCAGTTATCTCACCCATTGCCATTATCTTGGCAAGGATAGCCAAAGCAGTACTTTTAAACGTGCCTGCATTGTTGATGATAAGAAAGAATTTCTAAGTTAATAAAATAGAAAAGACTGAAGTAAACGATAATGTACGTCTCTAATCAATTGAAAGTGCCTAAATATCTAAGTTACAGGATTCCAATCCATATATCTATTAATAGACACTAAGGCAATAGACGCACATAGCTCGCTCTAATTTAATGTAAAAATTGTATGTGCTCCTTTACACGGAGATATGTGTGCCTTTTTACAAGTACATTAGACTCTTACTAGTTTGTAAAAGGGATGAGGTTGTCTTATTTTCAAAATATTTTTTAGTGTAAAAAATTCTATTCTCTATTTCGAACTCTTCCATCGCTGCTCATATACACTATGAATATATCACGATGTTAATTTCTGATGTTTCAACGACCAACATATAAATCCCGTTTTAAATGTTCTCCAAGAACCTTATAGTAAATTAAGAAACATTAATTAATAAGGTAAAAGATATAAAACATTCTGAACAGATTGTAAGGATTTAAAGAATCTGAATTATTTTGCCGGTATATCAGAGGGTTATTTATACTCTTGCATTTTGTACTTATCAGTAAATAACGTTTCAAGAGGTTTGCAAGTTAATTTAATAAATGTAAGTTAACAGTAACGTACTGTTAACTATACTATACTAACTAATTTGCTACTTATTAGTTCTAATATTATAAATGCGAAAGTTTAGATTTTTACATGGAGGGCTGGATGGATGGATGTTCATTTGAAGGTGTCTCCAAAATGTCTCAACAGATCTTTATGACATTTAGCAGAGATGTACTCGTAGAACATAGTCTGGAAGAACACATAGGCTACTTATTAAGGTTTTTTTTTTAATTTAGAGCCAACAGAGTCGCAGGCAACAACATATAAAGTGCAAAACTTACAACGCTCAGTCGAAATCACTCTGCGTGTCTCATTCAAAAAAATTAACATATCATCACGTTCAATGACAAATTGATTATCGCAACGACAGTAATGATTACCGCAGAATAGTAATGACCTCGCTTAACCCCACGCGAACTCTCGTTATATAAAATACGGTAAAACATACAATCTAGTAATACATAACTATGTACCTGTAATAAGTACACAGTAACGGTGGAACGTGAGACAATAACTCGTTGATGTCTTTTATATGGAAAACCCAATGCACAACAAATGTTTATGTAGCTTTCTTTTTCTCGCAGCTATGCTTAAAGTTCAATTGAAAAATAGTAAAATCTAACCTGATTTAATGAAATATAACAGTTTTTGTTATTAAGTTTTAAAGTATAGCTTAAATTATACGACTTCAAGTTATTTATTTTTTTAAAGTACGTTTCCCAAAAATATTATTATAATTTATATACAGTGACATTCGCACATAAATATTTAAAGTATCCTATTTGTCAAGCGTCCAGTAAAAAAATAAACGTTTTACAAATGTAACATAATCACACGCGAACCCGAATGGTCGGCAGTGAATTTATTTTACTGGTTCCTTTTTATCTTATTTGCGTTAACATATAAATGTAGTAAAAACTCGTTGCATGTAGGGATTAACGAAGCGCCTGCTATTTTCAAGTTTACACGCTGATCACACAAGATTAAATAAAACAATATAATGGAGCTACAAAAATACATTTGTACCTTACTTTTAGTTTTACCTTGAATTTTACTAATATCAGTACATCATCATCATCATCATCATCAGCTCACTATACTTCACCACTGAGGGGCTTAGAGCCTACCCTAAGTTAGGTCAGGGTTCTTCTGGTTATCACTATATAAATTTTGCTAACTATAGTTTTAAATACAACAACAAGAAACATATTCTAAATCCTTCCGTACTTACAAATCCTACGGTTCATTGAACCTAATTTGAGATTCAGCTTCCGCATTTTTCCTTACGAATCCTTAAATAAAAGCATTCAATTCGCGTATACATGTGGCCCGATAAAGTACAAATCGGACAACGTGTTCGTGACCGCCGCATACAAAATGAATACCGAGACAGTAATGCTAATCGCACTGTATATCGGCTAGGGGCCCGTATTTGGCGATACATTAGTATAGTAGCACACAGCCTGCGAATTTTATATCAAAGTATAGCTTAAGTACATCTACAATAAAATTGAACTAAACTCAATAAATACCACAAATTACTTAAACTCCGATTTTTTGTAGTTATTAAAATTAAAATATAGCTATCCATTTTAATCGCTTTTATAATTATGTAGCTGTCACCCGCAGCTACGTCCCTGCGGAATTAAAAACTTTTTTAGTGGCCTATATCTATGCCAAATTTCAGCAAGATCCATGTACCCATTCTAGAGATAGCTTCTAACACACATCTATCCATTCTTCCATCAATTCGATACATTCAAACATTCACATTTATATATTAGTAACAAGTAAAATAGATCAAATACAATAAAGATAAAATTTAATATAATAATGTTTTAGAGATATTTTGTCTTGCCTTAGTAGTAGTGAACGATTTTATAAATCTGTATCCATTTTTTATCTGCCATGATTTCTTTTTAATCTACTTTCAAGATTCTCGTACGGCTTTTAAGAGTCATGGAATATTTTTAAGAGTACTATAACAATCAATAACTCACATCAGACGTTTATAACTACTAAAGGATTCGCTTATTTCCCAGGACTCGTCCAATAATTCCCGAGGAATTTTTCTAAAGGTCACATGTGAATAACCAGCCTTTGTGAGCGTATCGGGACGACATAGTTCATTGCCGCGCGTAATTATAGAGTGAATCTGCTTTGATACTGGCTGCTTGAGATATCTTTATGAAAAAAGTATAAAACACGTTGGTTTCTTACGTTTTGAATGCTTAACATCTTATAAAGTTAGATTAAAATTACCTAGGATTGTTTACCTTTAGTGATGTCATAATATAAGATCTAAAATATCGGTGGTTCTAAGTTATTCTGGAAAGTAAATACTTATGTTCTACATCCATGCCAATTTTCAGCGAGATCCAAATAGCCTGTAAATATGGAGATTTCTGGAGATACCTTCTAACTAACAAACATCCATCTATCCATCCAAACATTCGCATTTAAAATATTATTAAGATTCATAATAATGGATGTGTAAGCCAGACATCAACTGAAAACAACTGGAATAACTTAAAAAGTGTTACCGATTGATTTATGAAAATAATGATAAAAAAACCATAAACTCGCCGATATCTATTTACGTACAGCAAAAAGAGAAGCTTTAATAGTTGTATTCGTTACGATTCCTTTTACTTTCATTGGTGTAGTTGCATAAGGCGAGGCGCCGAGAGCGGCCGGAGTCAATATAAATTGATTACTCGGCTGCATTATAAACAGGTTGCAAGGGAAGATTCCCTTTCCAACAGCTGTGGTCAGTACTGCATTCCAGCGGCCGTCAGATCCACTATAGATTGTGTTGATGTGAAGTAAATTACTTAGAATTAATAGCATACAGTAGTCGTAAACTCAGTTATTGTTTTTCCTTCATTAAGCTATTCAAATTGGTGTTTTATTTTCAATATGGTATTCAATATTCTAAATGGGCCATTATATTTATACTACCTGTCGCCCGCGATTCCATCCGCGCGTAATGATAAAAAAAACATATTACCCTATGTGTTCTTCCAGACTATGTACTATATGTATGCCAAATTTCATCAAGATCCGTTTAGCCGTTCTAAAGATACCTTTAAACAAACATCCATTCATCCACCTAAATATTCGCATTTATAATATTAGTAAGAAGTAAGATGTTTACCATTTTTTTTGTACACAATGAATAACCACGTGCAAAATAATGCAAGCGTATTTAATAAGTACCTTGTATTTTTACTTAATAATTTTTGAGCAATTAACCACGTGAGTACAAGTTCAGTACTTCAAGTTCAATAGCAGGGTCATGGTCAACGTCGCGGTATCGCTACTGTCAATTCTTGTTTCGTCACTCTGTCATCGCGTATAATATTAATCGTATTTATGTCACAGCGGTGTTAAGCCTTCAATTACGTGTCGGAGCTCG